TGCTTGAATAGCTAGGATAATCCTATCCTCACGAGAGAGCGATTCTATATTGTTTTGTTGAGACATTGTTGCTTAAGGTGAAAGAAGGTATAGTCTTGGCAAAGGTGGCCGCTTCGCTTACCCGGCCGCTTCGCTTGCCGCTCACGTTAATAACTTTGGGAATCCGCGGAATATCTTATCCGAACTGGCGCTGATTGGTCGGGAGGTTCGTCCGTCACCGCCAAGCCTGGCAACAGAAGCAAGACAACGGCTTACTTTTTTTTCGCGCGATGCCCAGAGTATTGATCCTGTACTCCCCTATACACCTGTTCATCAAACTAACGCTAGTTACTCATTCGGGTAGTTCCCTGGGGATTTCTATTACCTGCACACAGTTGATGTAGGCGCAATGCCCCCTCTACGGCCACTCCTGCCAGCAGCCGAGGGGTATCAGAGAAGCTGACCCACAGCCACGCCTTCAACAAAGCAGAAAGCGTCGGCAGCATGTCAGAGTTGCCGTAAATCTAAAACAAAGGTCCACCGCTCGTCATAGCCTGCAAGCCATCCGCTCCAGAGCTAACGATATTGTAGTGCGATGGCAGGACGCCGACATGCAGTGCTTGTATACGGCGTTCAACAATCTGCCAGTACACTCATACAGAGACGCGTCAGATCAGGCAAAGATATGCTCAACTGCAAAAGCAGGAATCTTCACATGAGGAGCTTATCGGAATGATTAGGAGTATGCCAGAGCAAGATGTTGCCGAGATTATCCGTCGCCTAAAAGCGGGTATGGATGCCGCAACAATAGTAAGCTACGTGAGGGATGGCAATCTGCTCGTGCAACTCTCATTGACACCAGAGACTACTCGTCGATATGAATTCTCCTTGGTGACCGAGATGCCATACCACCTCTACATCGGAGGCAACCCGTATCTGGAATCCTTGTACCATAGGTCCTTGTTTCCACGTTCAACCAGTGGTAGCGAGAACTCGAGTCAGGAAACCGAAGTTCAAGGTGTCAAAAAAGATAACCGGCGTGTAGTAGACAATGACATTCATCATAGCGCGTACGAGATGCCGTACCACACTGCGCAAATGGTTGAACCATTGATGGAAAAGGTCACCGCAGCACCATGGACCAGGGTCATCTCCGATGATCACTTGTTCAGAAGGCTCATTTCCTCCTACTTTTGTCACCCTCATCCTTGCGGCCCTTTCGTACACAAGGATTTATTCTTGGAAGAGATGGCTGCGGGCCGGACTACATTTTGCCCGCCATTGCTGGTCAACGCTATGCTTGCCAATGCTTGTGTATGAACCAATATACCATACTGTATATAGTACAAAAGTTGACTTGAGGTAGCAAAGCTGCTCTACTATTCCAGACCGTTCCAAGGTATGGTTGCCAGAGTCTCTGACATATAGATTCATGGCCGAAGCAAGACGATCGTGGGATTTTGAATCGTTGCCGGGCAGGAGCAAGATCCCGACCATACAGGCGGCGCTCATACTCAGCTAGAATACGACAAACAACGGCTTAGACGAGATCGGGACGATATATGCGAGACGGGCTTGTGAAATGAGCCAAGATCTTGGATTGTTTGGAGATGGAGAGTGGGGAGCTGGTACAAAGATGGAGAAAGCTCGTCTCTACACAGCCTGGGCGGTCTTTTCTTGGCAGGCCATGTTCGACTGTTACTTCTTTCGTCCGCCATACTTCAGCCAACCCCCGCAAATAGCCTTGCTGAACCCGAGGCTGCATCCTACCTGTTGTGGAGAAGTTTATGTCCAGTATCCTCGAGGCTCACAACCGATGCCATTGCTGATTGGATACAAATTTTATTCTGAGACAGCTCTACACAAGATCACAAACGATATAGGGCTGCTTACGTTTGGAAAGTCCTCAGCACAGATGCTTACTCTCGATGAGCTTGCTGCGATCAAAAAGAAGCTCGATCAATGGAGGACTCTATTGCCTGAGATATTCCAGCCAGAGAAAGTTGCGCTACCATCTCACCTGATGTTACAGTACGTGGCTTCGCCTTGTTTTCCTTGATCTGATACTGCCCCAGTACGACATGGCCATTACCAAGAATCCCACCTTTAGCCGTAACATGGCTATAGCGCTAATTCTGTGTGCAGTGTGCAATACTGGCAAATCGTGAAGTCATAGCACAATTGATTGTGAAGGCGGAAAGTGTGGAAAAATCCAAGGCGGCGGCCCTGTGGCCAGAAAGTGGCCCCCAATCATTTCTCCATGAAGCCCGCGTCATGCTTGAGACAGCCTGTTGCATATACTATGCACGGCACGGGTTTGAGTCTTGCGATCCCTGGGTTGCTTTTACATTGACAATAATTGGCAACACTATCATTGACGAACTCAAGGCAGGATCAAGCATTGATTCTCATATTCTAGCAGGCTACCGTTCGCTCCTGATTCTCTCAGCGTAAGGTCTAGCTACCCAAAGTCACCACTACCATAATGGTACACTCCTGGCAGTTCAGCTGCAGAGCGCAATGAGTCCTCAGGACCTGCAGTTGGTTTGCACACATGTGAAAGCAGCGGGCATGAGCAAATCGGAACAGTTGCTGGTGGCGGAGCATTCTCAAAGCCATTGGCCCCTATCAGGCAAAGTGGCGGATGATGAAGATCCAGAAAAAGTGAAATTGAAAACGTTACTGGAGGGTCTTGAGGAAAATCAGCTTTAGCGATGTGATGAGCGAGAAACGCGATATGCCAAATGGCGAAGGTGTGAAGAGCTTGACCATCATGTATGGAAAATGTAATTTCGGGTCTTTAGTTAATGTATTTGATGTTTTCTTCGAGAAATGGTTGCGTGCAGCTAACGAATACATGTCTTTGCCTCTTTCTGGATGCTATTGAATCATTGTGGAACTCGCATGTTATCGCCCTTGTTCGATGTTAGGATAGGGGTGGTGATATGTCTTATGGGCTTAGTCAAATGGTGTCCTTGACAGAAGACTTTACAAGTCAGAAGAAGAACAAAGACGTCATTTCTCAACGCATTGAGGACAAAGTCCTGTAAGGCAAGCCATACCGATAGGAAGACAAGAAGCGTAGCACTAACGAAAACGATTTATCCCTTGAGTTACAGGGATACATAAGTACATTCTTGATAAAGGGGTTTCGCCTTTTGAATAGGTTAAGCTTTAGTGGTACCGAACTCGAGAGGGATGTCACATTATTTATTCAATAAATCCTAGTCACAAAAGAGGTTAGTAAACAGCACTCACACCTTCCTTCACTTGGCTCTCGAACTGAAACTCTTAGTTATAGCTACGATTACACGATTACTGACGTGCATGACAGATATGCAGATTTATTCCGTACATATGGTACTACAAGGGAATCCGCCCTTTACTCCTATGCCCCTCGGCAACGACTTTGGTTCTTCTTCGTGCCTTTTACCTTGGATACTCGTGTTCATATCAACATACAATATTGAATATAGCTTCTTGTTGCGAATAAAAGCTATAGCTCAAGTTGGACTGATCTCTTTAGCATAAAGCGTATTAGGTTCTTTTGCTGGGAGGGGATTGATACCTTACGCACTAACCTCCTAAAAATAGAAAAGATGCTAGTTGGAGCGACTACGATAAGAAATGTTCCTAGAAATCTTACATCCGGCAATAGTTGCGTCTATTCAACGCCACTTGACAAATAATCTCCAGCAAAGGATGACCTCGTCTAGCATATTGTTTCGACCAGTCACAAGAAACCAATTGAGCTATAAAGGTTGGTAAAAAGAGACTTGACGTCGTGAAATCTATTAATGCTATGATCGTATACCAAGTTCTTCTAGAACTTTTCCATCAAATTCTTTCTCACAGTCCACATCCTGGCTCTCTTGCCGTATATGTACATGGGAATTGAAAAGAGCATGCAGCCAAGTTGGATACCTCCAATGGCCAAAAAGGTATTTTTGCTCCCGCTAGACTCAAGCCAGTGCGGGAAAAAGAGTGAAAAGATGAAACCATGCAGAACGTCTGAGAAATACATTAGTGTCTGTCAAAGATCATGCTGTGTCGGGCAATAGAGGAAAAGGCCATGACTTACTCTTTGAAAAGTTGAGGGTGACGAGTGCCTCACCCGCATACATGCGATAACTGTCAACAACAAAAGTAATAGCAGTAGTGCTAGCCAGCGAGCAGCCGAAACTGATGACACCGAAGAAAACGGTTGGTACAATCCACTTGTCCTTCTCTTCGGCGCTCCAGCCAAAACCCATGAGTCCGATCACAGTACTGATGGCAATGGGAACGGCCATGAGGAGACGGAATTCCGGCTCGTACACGCCGTCATTTTTGCGAGCCATGAAACGCACGACCAAATCAGAAACTCGACCCGCCACCGCTGTGCCAAGGACACCACCGATAAAAGGCGAGATGTAGACAAGACCAACTTGAAGTGGAGTGAAGTTGTACGAGGTATCCCGATAGATGTGTGCTACTGATTCGGACAAGACAATGAGCCAGCCGACTGCGAGCGCGTATACGAGCGAGGACCAGAGAACCGCGGGGTAGGCAAAGAGAATGAAGGGTCGGATGGCTACACGAAGCCATTTGTCCTTGGCAAGACGGCCGTTCCATGGCTTGAGGGAATCGCGATATGATTTTGGTGGCGCATCACGATAGTAGTCGGTGTAGTGGATAGAATATTGTTCCGAAATCTGATCGCTATCAGGAGCGGAGTCCGAGGTGGCATGTCCATCTTGAGCCCGAAGGTCTTGTTTCTCTGGATCTGCGTGAACAGCTGGAGAGACGTTGCCAAAATAGTCGTGACCTTGTGTGTCTTTGGGAGTAGAATGGACGCTGATTTGGGAACGGGGTGTTGGCGGAGCGCTGGCTTGGCGTGTGCTTTCGTCGACTACACTCACATTGTGTGTCTTCTCAGCGGGTTCCGGGTCGGCGAATCCGACATGCACATTCTTGTTTCGCTTGACCGGGTGCTCCGTAGGTGACGCTAGTGGCGATGCCATAGGAGAATGGACCTGCGGTGTGGCCGCCACCGAAGCTGTCTGCTGTCCTTGCGGGGTTTCTGCGGCCTTCTTGTGGTGCAAGTTGGGTAGGTGAAAGTGGCTATGGTGTTTACCAGGGCTCTGGCTGCGGGCACGCGTATGCCTTTTGTGGGGTTTTGGTGCTCTGTCCCAGAAAGTCTCGGGCACAAAGAAAAAGATGAGGAAGAAGCAGAAGCCGACAATGATGGACGTAATCCAGAAGACCCATCTCCATCCTAGCGATTGTACAATGGCGGCGCTGACTAGTGGAATCAAGTTCTTTCCACCAAGCAGCAGCAAAGTGTATATGCCAAGGCGGTAGGCTCGCTCGTGGAGGAAGAAGATCTCGGCGATGGTGGCACTAGGCAGACATTCGACGGGAGAGACAGCGAAGCCCTGGACAATGCGAGCGACGACCAGCGAGGCATAATTGGGCGACAGGGCACACCAGATTGAAGACAGGGTGAAGAGAATGATGGCGCCCAAATAGACGGGTCTCTTTCCGTACAAGATGGCGGTGGGTGAGGCAACAACGCTGCCCAGACCGAGGCCTAACATGTACAGGCCGGTTGTCAGAGCGACCTGTGGTATCGTCACGTCGTACGTCTCGGCCACGTCGTTGAAGCCAGCTGCGAGCAAGGGCGTCATACCTCCTCCGATCATGCAGTAAAAGCCGAGGGAGAGCAGGGCAAGGTCTCGTCGTACTTGATTCCAGTTGAGAGGGTCGTTTGCCGAGTCCTCGGGCTGGGGTTCGAGGATGAAGCGGCCATCCTTGGTACGTTTCTTCTCTGGGCGGCGTGAGCGCGAGGAGTGGCGGGAGCCGTGTGAGACTGTGCGGTGGGGTTGTGGGCGTTGTGTGGTAGGCAGGGATGAGGTCGAGGTGCGGGCGTGGGCGTGCTGGAGACCCAGTGGCTCATTGCGGTTGTGGACGCGCGAAAGGAGGATGACGGAGCCTACAGATTGAATCATGTTAGATGGATTCTGGCGCACCGAGAATTGCGCAGCAGAGGCATACCAGGCACTTCGTCAGTTTCGGGGTCGCTCAATATGCCCAGATTCCATCTACGTCGCGGCGCATCACTTTCCTGTGTGGCCACGGCTGTGGAAGTGGCGCCGTTTTGCTCGACTGGTTGCGTCTTGCGCCAGGGAGTAAACTTGACCATGGCAGGCCAGAATGCACAGTGAGGAGCAAAGGGAGTCTACAGAGCAAGAAGAAGAAGAACCAAAAAAAAGCAACTGGGCAGACGGACTATATGGTCTGACCCAAGGTTAGTTTACAGAGCACGCGTCTCACGCGGACCTTTTTTTCCCCACACACACATGGGTCCGATTCGATGGTGAGCCATGGACGGGCATTGGGCTCCAGGATGGTGGGGAGGCGCGATAAGAACAGGTGACGGACGTGTGGGGAGTCCATGTCCATGTTGGAGAGGGCAGAACAGGCATGTGGTCGGATTGCTGAGAGGCAAAGGCGGGTTGGAGAAGGCTAAGAAGGCTAAGAAATGGGGGTATCGCGGCTGGCGTTGCGAAGGAGCGGCACAATGACGCACTACCAAACCTCATGTGATGTCGGATCCGCTTCCCTCGGCCTTCCCATTGGCTGGTGCTGCGCTCACCGTCTACACATACACAGCAGTCAGCCTCCCTGCTCCGAGGGTCCAACCCTCCCGACTTGCTGCTTGACACGCCTAACACGACCACGCACCGCCACAACTTGGGAACATGACCGTTCTACTACACTCCCCTCTACAAACCATCTGCCCTTCCTTGCCCGGCTCGCCGGAGCCGCGTCTGGCTCTTCACCACGTGCTCTTCACCCTTGGATAGCCTGCATTCACATTGCATCCACCACACTGCTCGCCTATTCCACCTTCACTCGCCTACACTATACGTCGTTGTTTTACGGCCCACCTCCCAAACACAACATATCGTCATATCGCATGCCCAAGCATCAGGCCTCATGTCGGTCTGTTGCGTCGGCACTGCACATGCCCTGCTGTTGCCGACAATCTTGGGCTCACCGCGCATCTATCAATGTATGCCCATGACTCGCTGGTCATCGTCCCTCGTTTACGAGGCAGGGCGCGGGCCACCATCTTGTCCTTGCCAACACACTCCACACATACTTACCTACATGTCCAAGTATGTACGCATGCATGTTGATACTACTCACATACATACCCATTCACTCTCTTACTCACTCACTCAACCGCGACTCATGGCATACACACTGCCAACCAAGAAACAAGGCCTCGGCGCATACCTCAGCGTCTTGGAATACGACAACATCGTTCGATTCCTGTTCTACATGCTGTCTTCCCTCCACCTCGACCTCACCTTCTGCCATCCCTCCATCTCCCCCTTGCCGCCCCTCTTCTCCAGCCCCAGCCCTCTGTCCACCCATTCCTGACTACCCATCTCGCTCAACCTAGACAGAGCCCGAGCAAATGCAAACTTCTCCTCATCCCCGCTGAAAATGGACGAATTCTTGAGCATGTCCATGTTCATGCCCAGGTCATCCATGAGATTGCGCATTACATCTGAAATTGCTTCTTCGTCATCCTTGTTGCCTGCCGGCGACTTTTGCGATGACGGTGAAGACGAAGAACCAGGTAGCTTTCCCGCCTTCTTCGTTGCTGCTACCGCATCGCTGAGCTCGGCTTCGTCAAGGAAGAGGGCTGTCAGAGGCACCGCCGTCGTCATAACCAACTTGGCCTAGCACATTTTGTTAGCAACACGTCTTGCTCTCTTCTCACATAGCCGCCATCACTCACCCTGGATTCATAGACTGCATCGATAAATGTGATGAATCTTCTAGCCAAATCTCGACTCCGGTAGTTCATTCCTGGCACCCCAGTAACAATAAACGCTTCATATTGCCGAGTGAGCTCAAGGTAGTCGGCAGCGCCTGTAGCACGCCCTATAATGTCGTCGAAGCTGAACACGGCACACTTGCCACTGGCCTTGGGTACATGAATCTCCCTGCCCCAAACCTCATGCACAGCAGGGTGTGGCGGATCGTTCTCAAAATCGCCGAGAAATCGGAACCACCGCTCGACGTGGGTTTGCGCAGATGCGTCCAAAGGATGGTGATATACCCCGGACGGCGGACGCGGAATCTTGCGGTAATCCGTTGTCGAGTCAAGATTCAGCACGGTAAGCCGGCTTTTGAGGAGATTGATACATGGAATGAACGACTCGCGTTGGATTCCGTTCTTGTACAAGTCGTCGGGGTGCCTGTTAGACGTAGTCACAATCACAGTGCCATGCGCCATCAAGCCCTCCATCAGCCGTCGGAGAATCATGGCGTCCGCAACGTCTGTACATTGAAATTCGTCAAAGCAAAGCACCGACGATCGCTCGGCTATCCCAGCTGCCACAAACGGTATCCCATCAATGTCATTGCCGTGCGTCATCTTCATCTTGTGCAGGTCCCGGTGCACACTCTGCATAAAGTCATGAAAGTGGATCCTCGTCTTCCTAGTAATGTTGGCCGGTAGTGTGTCGTAGAACAGATCCATCATCATCGTCTTTCCGCTGCCTACATCCCCAAACATGTAAATGCCCTTGGGTAGCGAGTCGGGTATTGGTGGCAGTGACGATCCGGTGGGCTTGGACATGGAGAGAAAAGAGAATAATCCTCCCTTCTTGGGTGGCTGGAGAGAATCAACGGTAGGTTGCTGAACCGGAGGTTGTGTGTAGTTTGTCAACATGTCGTGTAGGTCTTGCAGGTTTCTGATAATATTTCGCTGGTGTTCATCGTCTCGCAACCGGCCGCACTCGACGCGCGCATCATACTCTGCCATGGGGCCGTGGTGCCTCTCCATGTCTTCGGGTGAGACTGTCAGAATTAGCCTTTGCTCCAAAGCTTGGGACGTTTGCTGCCAATACACTCTCGTGCCGCTGCCGCTGCCGCCTGCGCATACCATCTACGGCCCGCCGGTGCAAGTAGCGATCCTGCCGTCGTGTTCCTCATTTGCCCACCCCTCAAGCACCGTGTACATATCGCCCTACTCGTCCCACCACCAACACCACCACTACCGCCTGTGAGTTGTCGTCCGACCACAACCCGTCTCGGCATCGGACCAGCGCATCGCGAAAGTGTCTTCAGCCCGCGCAGGGCCTCGCATGATGTCATCTTGCACATTGCGTGCACGCAGAGCCTGGCTGCCTGCAGGGAAAGAGAGTGAGGTCAAGAAAAAGAGCGGCCAGTGCGAGTATGCAGTGTCTGGACCATGGCACGAAGAAGAGTCTGCGCAGAGTGGCATCAACGAGAGCGCAAAGCTGTGGAGCGTTGCGCATGTGCGCGCGACCCACGCCGTTTTGACATGCGCGGGGAGTTTCCTCGCTGCATCCTCGGCTTTTGACATTCCGGTGTGTGGCTGAAATGGTCATGTCGGCAACACTTTAGTAGCCGAGGCCAAGAAACCTAAAGAACACGCTGGTGTAAGAACTACTGGTAGTAAACATGTGCTAGACGTTGCATCTCTTTCTCTTCCTCCCTCTCTCTCTCTCTTCTGTGGGTAGTCATTAACATCACAGCTTCATCAAACATACATATCATGCTTCTTCGTCCCCAGCCACACTCTCGTACCTACCCGCCTCTCCTCCGCCACTCCGTTGATACTTCATCTTGGGTACTTCATATAGCCGTGTGTAATCCACCCTCTCCCCACCCAACCTCGCGTACCCGCCCTCTTTGGATCCAAACAGTGGACTCGCATCGCACCAGAAATCCTTGCAGTTTGTAGCAATGCCCCTGGAGAAAGGGTTGACTTGTCGTTGCCGGCGTGTCTGCCCGCCCTGACTCCCCTGCAGCGCAATCGTGACAAAAGTGTCAATGCCAAGGAGACGCTTCCATTGATCCAGAATAGACGCTTTAGGTTCGGGACGGCGCGGTACGTCGCCAGTATCTTGGCCAGACCCAAAGCCGTTTGTTGGTGCGTTGCCGCCACCGGATACCTCTTGACTAGTGTCGCCAGTTGTGACAAACGAGTTGACAGCATCGGCAGTCGTGTGGTTATGGAGGTGTCCACGCATGCTTTCGTACGTGGTAAGATTACGCGCAATCTGGAGAAGCTGGACACACAGCAACATGGTGACCCATGTCAACTGGAAAGCCGCCCATATCGAGAGCACAATCGTAAATGGGTCCTTGTTCAAAACCTTGCATAGTTCTGGCGAGATGATGACGCACTCTGCAAAGGCTTTGGGCGCTTCGCGAATCTCCAAGTCTGCATACATTAGCGACGTCCCCAACTGCCCAGACAGGGTCCACCTACAAGCAAGCACTAATCTGATGAAAAAAATAATGCCCGTTTCCAGTGACAGAATGTACAGCACAAAGTGCCGATGATTGTTGTTCGCGACACAATTGTTCACCCATGGACAGTGGCTATGACCGTTAGCTCCATCTTACGCATGCCCAGCTCCAGTACTCACTGATCACTTTTTGCAACACAGCGCTCGCATCGCTTGCAATGCTTACTACGCAAAGGCTTTCGCACCATACAGTTCACGCAGAAATGGTGCTCATCAAATTGTCGAAGCTCCATAAGCTCATCGATAACGGCCTTAGAAGCGCTCCTGCTCGCCGACTTGGGCACAAAGCCAGGATCACTAGTCATGGTGAAGAAGTAAAAATACGCCGTGAGACCGTAAAAGGTCGCGAATAACAGGTTGAGGAAGAAGTTAGTCCGTATTGTCCCTTTTACCATTAGCCGGATGAATACTACTTGCGGTAACGATGCAACTTACATGGGAGAACTGTCGTAATCCAACGAAACCCAACCCAGAATAACGTGGCAGCAAAGATACCGGCCAAAAAGGGCTTCCCATTTGTAAGCAAGTGATCAGGCATGATTTCAGATGTGACTCACAGTATGATGTATGCTTCTCATATTCGAGGGTGCCCATTTCAATAGCTTCTGCACGCCCCATTGCATACCATATGAACCAATCAATGCTAGGGGTATGCCAATAAAGGCAGGGTAGTGGCTGACCAAGAACAGCGCAACAAAGAGTATGACAGATGGCCAGAAGAAGATGAAGCGATTTAAAAACCACCTTGCATCCTTTACACCAGGCACAGGGAACTGCCTCGGATTCCCATTGCGATCGAAGCCAGCCTCTGAAAGGGCACGGTGCCATTGACGAGTTGTGCTCATTTCCTGTGCCGTGACTTCTGGCGTCTTCCCATCATTGTTCTTAGCAAACCGGTCCGCCCCGTATTCGAGCAATTTCTGGATCGATCCTTGACTGCCCTTTACGAGGGCCCAGTGCAATGCTGTGAAGCCCTGGTCATCTGTCGCGTATACGTTTGCGCCCCATCGGAGAAACAGATCGACGCAAGACGGATAGCCTTTGTATGCAGCCCACATTAGAGGTGTATGGCTCTGTGAGTCTGGTATATCAACGGGTATGTCTTGGTGTAGAAGCAGGACAATCTGATAGACGTTGCCGTCGAGGGTCGCGCTGTGCAAGAGATTGAAGCCTTGGTCGTCGGTGAGAAGCGGGTCGGCGCCATGATCGAGAAGGAGGTTGACGACGTAGTAGTTGCAGCGCTTGGCTGCCCATAGGACGGGCGTTGCGACGGCATCGCCGCCCTTTGCGTTGATGGGTGCGCCGGCTTGGATGAGGTAGTGGCAGAGGGCGTAGTGGTTGTTGATGGCGGCCCACTATCAAGCTGTCAGCTCCGACTCTTCTACTTCACCTGCTTTTTGATATACTATACGCACATGAAGCGGTGTTATGCCCTGCTCGTCCTTGTATGTCGCATCATACTTGCCGCTGTCGAAAAGCTTTTGGATGGCCCCGATTTCGCCCAGGCGCGCCAACTGCATCAGGTCCTCCTCCACCGGCAGCGTCGGCTTCTTGTCCGCCATGTTTTCCAATTCATGGTCGCCCGTTGTGGTCTGGCCTTTGCCTTCTGATGGCGTTGCCGCAGCCATGGCGGGAATGATGATGGTGGGTTGCGGAGCTCGCGACACCTCCGATGCAACTACAGCGGCGCAAGAGGCGGTGGGTGTTGGATTCAAATGGACGGCAGACAAGATACGGGTACGGCACAAGTCATCGCATGCTAAAAACAAACAGTATAGGGGCAGAGTCTGAGTTGTGGCACTTTGTAGACGCGGATTATGCGGCACTTTGCGATTCCAGTCTACCGCTTACCAGGCCATCGCATGGGCCACGGCACGCATCCTTGCGCCTGCCAACGCAATTTGTGGCGGTGCCACGCAAGCCTCACCCCGGATGCCGGATGCCGGACTACTCCAAGCGCTTACTGTGTACTCACCACACCACGCCTCCTTGTCGCAGTCTACTATGCAAGCATCGCCTGGAACTCACTTCCCTCCCTCAGCATGTCCTCGGCCCTGCCCGCCTTCACCAGTCGCCCGTTTCCAAGCACCACACAGTAGTCTGCCGCCTTGACCGCTTCCAGACGATGCGCAATCGTAATCACCGTACTGCTCCTCATCTCCTCTCTCAACACGCTCTGGATGCGCTGCGCAGTCTCAAAGTCGATGCTCGCTGTCGCCTCATCCATGATCAGAATTGGTGATCTCCTGAGCATCGCCCTGGCCAGCCCCACGAGCTGCCGTTGTCCTTGCGATAGTCCTTTGCCCCCTCCCTCTATGCTTGTGCTCAGCGTCCACGAGTACTGTTCTCCGCCAATCTTCTCCAGTACTGAGACACATGATGCATCAGAATATTCCGATAAGGGGTCCAAGTTCTTGCGCATAGTTCCAGGAAAGAGCACAGGCTCCTGCGCTAGAAATGTGACGCGACTACGGAGTGCCTGCTTTTTAACTGTCGCGATGTCAATGCCATCGATGAGGATTCTGCCATTCTCGGCCGCAATAGTAGCCAACAGACTAAGAGCCAGAGTCGATTTGCCAGAGCCTGTGCGCCCAATAACTGCCGTGTTGGATCCTGCGGGAATCTTGAGTGTGATGTTCTGGAGTGCTGGTTCGAGGTTCTCTGCATAACGAATCGTCACGTCCTCGAACTCAATATCACCGCTATATGTCGGCCAGTGTGCAGGCGGCTCGACAACACCAGGCGCTTCCCTCTCAATGTCGAGAAGCTCCACCACACGTTCGACACTCGTAAAGTCCATTTCCAGGTTTCCGTAGATTCTGCACATCCATTCCGTATGAAGCACAAACTTGCCAGCCGTGATCAGCACAAAAGCAGTAAGTCCGGGACTGATGCCAGTGTACACAGCAATGAGCGTCATAATTAGTGTGGAGCTAGCCGACATGACACTGAAGCGTAGAGCTAGCCATGCTTGTAGAGACCAGTAGAAATGGTCATTCTTCTGGAAGTTGTCGACGACTTCAATGACACGAGCTTGGAAGCGATGTTGTGCCTTGAAAGCCCGCACGGTAGTAAGCCCTTCGACAAGGGCGCCAAAGTTGCTCATCAAAGGAGAAAGCGATACCATCTACCTCAGATTAGCATGCAGAATCAGACTAGTGCTGCTCTACAACCAGACTTACCTCGAGCCGCCTCAAACTCTGCGATGTGGGCAAAAATCGGAAAAAATAATACACAAATCCACAGCAGAGTAGGACCCCGAAAGCTAAGAAAGCTGGCGTAGAGGACAAAATAATGACAATGCAACTCATCCAGCCGATAATCTGCCATGCAAATGTTATGAATGCACCGCTCAAATCGCCGTCGATAGTATTCATATCACTTGTCAATCTGTTCATCAATCTTCCCACTGGAGTAACATCGTAGAATCGGAAGGTCGCGTGAGCCACACGCTCCAAAGTTTCCCTGAAGATGGTTTTTGCAGCGTGGTATCCAACTCCAAACATGATGAGATTTGTCCACCAAAAGAGTATAGCAGTTCCAGACACGAACATGAAGAACGTCCAGAGCCAAGGATCGACATTCTCAGTTGCGGGTGGCAGAAAATCAAAGATTCCGTGATGCTCCACATCGTCGTAACTTTCACCCCAGGATTTCATAAACCATGTTTGAGCAACGTCGAGAACGCGAAAAGCTGCCATAACGAAAATTGCCACAGACCACCATCGGAGTGTGCCTGCTTTGACGTAGCGCCAGTACACGCTCCACTTGACACCACCTTTTGCACGATGCTCGTCTTCGATGAACTTGTCTGGAACTGCTGCCGATTGTTCTTCTTCACGCTTCTTTGCGTCCTCCTCGGATTCCGTTTCAGTGGTCTGCGTCCGCTTCAACGCATCGTTATCTTCAGCCTGGGTAGGTTCGTGAATCGTTGCGCGACCGTGTTCCAGTTGAACCCATTGCTTCGCGATACCATGGCAGAGCTCCGTCCGATGTGTAACCAGAATGGTCGTTCTTCCATTGAGCAATGGCCCGGCCAGCAACTTGGCAACAATGAACTCAGCCGTTTGATGGTCAAGAGCCGACAAAGGGTCATCCAGTAACAATACTTTTGCGTTGCTGTATACTGCCCTGGCTAGTGCTACGCGAGCCTTTTGTCCGCCAGACAAGCCAATACCATTCTCGCCAATGTTCGATAGATCACCGTGCTTCAGCTCCACCATATCAGGTAAGAGGGCACAAGCTTCCAATGTTTGCTTGTAGCGCATCTCTTCAAATGGATATGAAAAAAGAATGTTATCACGAATGCTCATGCTCTGAAGCCACGGGGTTTGAGCACAGTACGCAACCATCTGGTCAGGGCGTATGAGTTCGCCGGCCGTAGTGTCCAGCTCTCCAAGCAATGCTTGCAATAGCGCAGTTTTCCCTGCGGCTACTTCTCCATAGATGACAGTCAGTCCAGGAGGAAAGGACAGGGTAATCTCGGAGAGCACGTTGTGGTCCACGCCTGGCCAAGCAAATGATGCTTGATGCGTACTAAGCTCAGTGGAGCCCTCAGCTGTCACATGAGTCTCTTCCTTATTGGGTTCTGCCATAAATTCTTCGATGCGACCCATCGCAACGTACGCATTGAGAAGGGTTGTTATCAACTGGGGCAAGGCACGGAGATAACTTTCCAACTGATTGAATAGCTCAATGGCAGGGAAAATGAGGTCGATACGCAAATCTTGTCCCGCCAACTTAGTGAAAGCATAAAAGGCCACAGCAGGGAATAGTCCGGAACCAAACCGTAGGATGAAGGCAAGTGAGGTCACAAAGAAGATGTTTGCGACACGCAAATGCAGCTCCTTCTGACGTGACTCTAGAACGCCATCGAGCCATGCATCCTGCCATCCGTACCAACGAAGGTGTCGAATCGACTCGATAAACTGGCTTGTTCGTTGAATCTTCTCGTCTGTGGCTGATCGACGCTTCTTCTCAAAGTGAACTTGTAGGCGAGCAATGACAATGTTCAAGAGTTGGGACACACCCAAGGCAAGTATGCCCAGCAGACATGCCCAGCCCAACATGCGCCATATGAGTATGATTGCAAAAATTGCGCCAGTGGGTTTAGTGATGATGTCTGAGAATTCCCAGAAACGCTGCGCTATCTCGTAAGCATCGCTTCGCATTAAGTTCAGTATCTTTCCCATCGATGCAGGGTCGTTATCCTCCTTTGGGGCATTTTTGGTTTTTTTCCTGAAAGCCGATCGAAAGGAAGCAAGTAGGGTCTCCTTCCAATGTTTGAAAGCAGTTTTGGAGTCTTCACGGGTTGTGTGAGTTTCACCATTGATCTCTTCGTGTACTTCGCCAATGCTGTTGCCATTAGTCTGTTCGTCTTTCCCGTCTTGTTTGGCGCCTAATATCTTGCGATTCAGGGTCTTCTCATAAAGCATTGTAATGAGTTCGCCTCTGCATCTCTCATAAGCGCGCCTTTGGTACCACAAATTGAAGACATTAAGTTGCGCAGACGTCAAGCGCAATACTAAAATCACACAAGCATACGTAATCGTCGCGCGATTGTGACGATGTTCCATGGAGGCAAGGAGGCGTTGAAGGAAGACGGGTGTGAGCAGAGCTTCCGTTGTTAGATTGAGGGCACAAAGACAAGATGAGGTGTAAGACTTACTTGCACATAAGCGCACTACGTTTAAGAATGTGGTGCGCAGCAGGTCCATGCCATTTGCGACAAAGACTTTCTTCGTGACTGACCCTTCGAGCGCCCCAAATGCATCATGCAATCGCGCGTGTTTGAATTCCCAGCCGAGGTCCCATATATCACTGTCTTCCATTTCTCGAGTTTTACCCTTTTTTATCAAAGGCTCCATCCATGACACAGTCATGTATTGCCAAGGGGTCAAGTTATCTTCCGGAGTGCGTAGTGTGATAGTTGGTGTGTCATGGACGGCACTGATATCATATCTAGGCAGCATTGGGTCCCGCAACGGCATGTTAAGGATAATGATGATTGCCAGGAACGCTGCTGCAGGTGGAACAGCCCACGGAAGATCGCTTGGCAAAAAGGTTTGCTTGTGGGATAACATGATGATTTGCTCCAACATGAGTCCTGTAAAGAGCATTAACAATGATAAAGACGCAGTTCTCGGCTGCTCGACCAGGATTATGGCGATTGCAATGGCCTAGGCAACTTGTTAGCCATGGATGCATCAAGAAAATCTGGACTCGTGCGTACCCAGGCGATTGCTGGATACATGGCCATTGGCTGATGCCACGGAAGAAATACGTGAACAGTTTGAAATGTAAGACCGATTAACGCTATGACGAGAAGCCAGATGGTCGCACCCAAAGGCTGCTGAGGCGACGCGGCTTCAAACTCATCGTCTTTCTCCTGGGTCTCCTGTACCAGGGGTTTCGTCCATCTTGGCCAGTACGGACTTGTCACCCTTAAAGAGTATCTCAGCAAGACCAAGGCCGCAAGTATGGCTGGTATGGTTGCAACATAAGGTAACGCGCATGGTGTAAACCTAGCAGTTTTTGGATCCTGATCAGGTGAGTAGATGTCAAATCAAGTTGAAGCTTCTAGATACTGACCCAGAGACGATGGCAATGTGAGATTGGCGGTATGTCTGAAAAGAATGATTGGTGGGATATTGGAGTCTGGAGCGACGCCATGTTGTCTGTTGCCACCTCAAATGAGTATCCAACAGCAACTATTTGGACAAGACTTCCTTCCACCTGAAGCCCAAGCTGCAATCGATTAGTTGGACGATTGCGGGCATGTATATGAAGATAGAGATTCAGGTGGGCTTGCTAGGCATCAGGGAAAAGAGCTTGCACGAGTGAGACGGGTGTCGGTGAGGACGTTGAACAGTAGTCCCGAAAGGTACGCGGGCTGGACTGGGGGCTGGCTAGCGTCCCCCACAAGCCTAACGTCGCGGCCTCGCCTCTTACGCCTTTGCTTTTCTATACGTCGCATACCGTGACACTGCATTGCAACTGATCTGTCTATTGGCCTCTTGCTTTGCTGTTCATGTACCGCTACGTGCTGCGCAGCACTGTCTATCTCGGTAGCTCAACAAAGTACATAGCCAGGGCCTTTGTTGAGCTACGACTACGTCACCTATTTCCCCAAATTATTCCCGTACTACCAGCGTGCCACAAGATTGTTTCCGCCAATGGACAGAATTACAAGCAACGAGATATGCTCAGGGAGACCAACTCTTATATCTGATATCTTGTCTCACCGGCTTCGTATCGGCTAAGTGTTGTTATCACCATCATCATTATCTCCCCGTTATTGGCGTTTCTCTAAACAACGAGCGCAGGAGGAATCGCACCTATGGCCACCCGCAATCTGAGCCGGCAACAACTTGCCGTTCTCAAAAGTCTCAGCTCGTCAAATTGCCTAGCATAGGTACATGGTGGGCCAAGAAACGAGATCTCATGGATTCGTCAAGCTTCACCGGATACCCAAACTCATGTCCCCGCCGTCAGCCTTGCACCATTTCCATCTCAGGCATGCGACCGGTCTTCCATCGTCTGATATTCTCGCTCAGCTCATGCAAGTCGAATTCTATGTGATACTTGAGCCGTCGCGAAAGCAATCTGCCTGCCTATACAGGCAGTAAGTACTACTAGTCCCTCTACGATACCGGGATCCTCAGCCACAGCCACATCATCTTCCATGTAGAACCAAATATGTTCATGAAGCGCGAGCACTGCACAACTAAGGGGCGAGCTGCAAGCGCGCGAGTGTTCCCTCACCACCATCCAATCATCTCAGTGCCAATACTTGAAGCCTTTCCCACTTGGGCCGCAGCGCTAATCCTGGGGGCTGAAGCCATGAGCCTCGCATTTACGGAATCCTTCGGCTGAACCCACCGAGCGGGCTCAGCCGCTGCACTTCTACTTCTTTGACTACCACGTTTGAGTGCGAAAACATTGTTTGCCCTGGGTGCGGGTAAAAGCTACGATGAGCATGCGCACCAAATATGTCACCAACTTGTCAATCTCTCGCCATAGCTTTCGCCCACCTACATCTGTTCCTCCGGTATTGCCAACATGACAACTTTCTCTCTCGTGCCCAACTTCGTTGGTGTCCAATGGCATTCGTGACAATCTGACAAGGGTTTTCTCCGAAGGATGCGCAGTCAAACCTGCGAAACAAGCCCCAGCACTGCCACATGTCTGCCAATATGTTCCATGTGTCTGGAAGGAAGTACCCCTTCCAATCCTTCACGGTCCCTAAAATTAGGCTGACAGCATTACTTAAACTGGGAATTCAGGAGCAGCGAATCCAGCAGAAATACAGAATTCAATTCCTGTTCTTCAATCAATAATTCACACGTCCTCTACTACCATGGTCTTCGGCGAACTTTCACCATCCCCTTCATATGTTGCGCGGAAGTCAGACCAATCACCACCTACAGAGACTCGACGCAGGGCGTCCACAGCACATACCTCGAAACGCCGCCCATCTACAGACTCAGAGAGTGGACCGCAGATAGCGCCAAATCAATCACCTACTCGTCCATCTCAATCTGCCAATTCATATCAGACTCCATCAACTGCAGCCTTGAAACGGCCTCAAGATGCATCACCTGACGTCTTTGACGCCACCATACCACAGAAACGTACATGCACTTCAAACAAAAAGACTGCACATGCTTCTGGGCAGCGAGCCGATAGTGAAGAAATCTATTCCCGACCCAAGACACAAGAGACGGCCAGATTGACACATGCCAAACTATGCAATCGAATCAGGACCAAGCTGAGCGATGACGATCGAATCAAAGGCGTCATATATGTTTTCCGGCATCCAACCAGTGATGGGTCTGTCTGGAAAATCGGCACCACCAAGCGCTTGTACATTGAACGATTCGACGAACACAAGAGCTGTTGCAAATTTGAACCAGACCCTTTTCACGTGTCGGCCCAAGAGATTCAAAACTGCAATCTCCTAGAAAAGCTTATACATATGGATTTGTGTTATCAGGTCAGGTATCGCTCTTGTACCAACAGGACAAAGGGACATGACGAGTGGTTTGAAGTTTCGGAATATATGGCGGTCGAGACAGTGAAGAAGTGGGAGCGTTTTATACACGAAGGGAAGCCGTATGATTCACAAGGCAATCTCAACGTCGTATGGAGTTATGTGCTTGAGCAACGGTCCCCAGCGGCTCTCAATGTACGCGACATGTCTCACGACGCTCGACACGAGCAGTGGGCTGATATACTTGCGCCCCCAACATACAGCGACTACGTCTATGCCTACTCAGCATACGCACGTTCTGAACTCAAAGCCACCTACGATTGGGTGTACATGTTCTTCTGGCAACTCTTGACAATACTGTATAGCTTGCATGCGCTCGCATTGTGTAGGAACCGCCCGGCGTTTTATGCGCTTGTTTTTGTGCTTGGATGCGCTGTGTTGCCGAGCTTTCGGCTTCAATCCACTGAGAAGCAAAAGGTGAGATCGCCCAAGAAAAAGGCGTGAGAAGTTTAGATTGTGATTTTCTTTTCAAGTGTACAGTATTTCGTTCATCACTTTACGTGGCAATTCAAGATAGACATTTCGTTTCACCATATATATGAATCTCGCATGAGCACTGAGCAATCGTTTTCTTAATCATATATTCTGTTTTTCCTTCGTGACTTTTATAGCCTTACAGAGTAACATCCATCGTGATTGCGAGACATTACTAGAGCCCGAAAGACAACGCAACAAGCGCTCGATATCTCTACAAAATACCGATTCTCAAATGTACAATCAGGTATCCAGTATTCATGCTAGAACAAAAAACAACAAGATCAAACATGAACTTAGACAAAAATCAACGCCTAAAGCTTGGGCTTGGAAACAATCAATGAGTTTCCGTCCTGGAGCGCCTTGACAGCATCAGTGACAAGCTCGTCAACAATCTCCTTAGCGGTCTTCTTCTCATTGACAACGGCAGCAACCTTGCCCATGAGGAAGGGTCGGGCATTGTCCATGGTCTCATCATCGATGTCGTCGCCCATCTTCTCGAGATCGTGCTCGACGGGTATTATGCCCTTGCTGGTGAGCTCCTTGATTTCTTGTTGCCTGTTCTCTTCCCAGTTGTTGACATATGGGTTGTTGCGGATACGGAGGGGTCGTCCAGTGAAGATGATTGTGCGGATGTTGTCGTCCCAGCCAGCAGTGCGGACGGCTTCCTGGTGAACCTTTGGCGCACCGGCCTCCTCGCAGAGGATGAAGCGTGTTCCAACCCACACACCGGTCGCGCCAAAGGCGAGCATAGCAGCAAGGGATTGGCCGCTGTAGATACCGCCAGCAGCTACGACTTGGACCTGCTCGCCGGTCAAAGGCGACTTGTGGCCCTGAACCATCTTGACTGCGGCTGGGATGAAGACGGATGTGGGGACATCTCCAGTGTGGCCTCCACCCTCGCCTCCCTGTGCGCAGATGATGTCAACACCGATATCCAGGCACTTTTGGATGTGCTTGGGGTGTCCGATCATGTTCATGTATAGAACGCCCGCCTTGTGCAGCTTCTCGACGACAGCCTTGGGTGGCACGCCAACAGCGGAGACGAAGAGTTTGGCGCCGGACTCGATGATGACATCGACGAGCTCGCCCAACTTGCCCTTTGTGTAGTCGTAGCTATGCCTGGTCAGTTTATTGCGTCGTAAAGGTGGGCCCGATGGTTGAGACATACTTGGTCTTGCGAGCGTTGCCTCCCACCTGGGGAAGAAGCAGGTCAATACCGAAGGGCGCGTTCTTGTCGGTCAGGTATCCCTTGAGCTCAGCGATCTGCTCACGGAGCATATCTGGTGTGTATCCGAGACCACCGATGACACCAAGACCTCCAGCGTTGGTAACGGCGGCAGCAAGCCTGGGCCCAGCAGCCACGTTCATTCCGGCAAGAATGACGGGATGCTGAATCTTCAGCAGGTCGGTGAGTTTGGTACGGATTTGCTCTGTCCTGTGTTAGCCATGGGCGCATGTGAAATAGGACTGTGCCACTGGGGCGATGGCAACATACGTGGTGCGGCCATGGTTGCGGTGAAGGAAGTATCTACAGCTAGAAGAAGAGCGAGACAGAACAAGATATTGTAGCAGTCGGTGACGCAGGTAAAAGCGACGAGGAGTTGGCTCGGATCTTATGGGGTGATGAGGAGAGGAGATGAATCCTTTCCAGCTCGTCTCTCACAAGACCGAGCCGTGAGCCGAGGCACAGCGCAAGTATCACGCGGAGAAGGCTAGCCATATCCGGAGCTAGCGCTGTCTGGGGAAGGCCGGGACTAGCATTGCCCGCATGGTGTCGTCACGCTGATTTGTGATCGACTCCGTCTTGGACAACCATGTTGTCCAATACTCTGCGCATGCCGGTGCCGAGGGTCATATCCCAAGGCTTCATTCACCGTATATCGCGGCCATGGTCAGCCTACAGCAGACATGTATCGGGTCAGGCCGTGGAAAATTTTCCGCAATGGCAGAGTAGACGCCGGGCCCTCGTATCTGCATGCCATGCGCCCAGCCGGGGCCTTGAGCATCAGTATCGAGAGCCGCAGCAATTTGCTCGACGAAACATATCGAGTCTGCAAAATGACGAACATGCTAAGAAGCGCCATGCCTTCATCGCTCTGGGGAGCAATATGGGCGATAGGGCAGCCATGATTGAGCAGGCATGCAAAGAGATGGAGTCGGGCGAAAAGATACGCATCATTCGGACGAGCAGCTTATGGGAAAGTAAAGCCATGTACGTTCTCGATCAGGACAATTTTGTAAACGGTGTCTGCGAGGTATGCCCTCCGTGTTTTTGTACCGTAACACTGCACTAAGTTAGGTAGATAGAGACTTCACTTTCGCCTATCGAGCTGCTAGATGAATTGCAAGCTGTTGAGAATAGAATGGGCCGTGTCAAGGTTATTGACAAGGGCCCTCGGAACATCGATCTGGATATTTTGCTGTACGGCGAGACTGAATTCTCCAACGAAAGGCTTCAGATTCCTCATGCCCTAATGTTCGAGAGGGAATTTGTCTTGCGGCCGTTGAGCGAGTAAGCTATCTATCACTTGTGCAAATGATCTCAGCTGACTATTCTTAGACTCATACTAGAAAATAACCAAGTCAATTTCCCATTTCAGGAATCCATTCAGCAACGTCTAGCGAAACTGCCAAAATCCGAAGCGCCACTGGTACCAATAGTGCCGCTCGCATCAGATTTCTCTCCAATCTCGTCTGCCAAAACTGAGCAAAAAACACGCATAATGTCCATTCTCAATGTCACACCAGACTCTTTCTCCGATGGTGGCGTGAACTACAACAACGACCAAGAAACATTGGCTGAAACAATCAGAGCACACATTGCAAGTGGAGCAACCATCATCGACGTAGGCGGCCAGTCCACCCGACCCGGCGCAGTCCAAGTCTCCACAGAGGAAGAACTATCGCGAGTCCTCCCCGCCATAACACTCATTCGCTCAATCCCAGAGGCAAAGGATATAGCTATCAGTATCGACACATACCGTGCACGCGTCGCCGAAGAAGCCATCAAAGGTGGCGCCAACATGATCAACGACGTCAGCGCAGGCGCAATGGATACAGAAATGCTACCTACAATGGGTAAACTCGGCTGCACCGTGTGCCTAATGCACATGCGCGGAACCCCAGAAACCATGAACTCTCGCGAGAACACGAGCTACCCCGACGGCATTGTCGAAACCGTTGGTCGCGAATTGCTGCAACGCGTTCGGGCAGCCGAAGAAGCAGGCGTCAGACGATGGCGCATGATCCTCGATCCAGGCATTGGATTCGCAAAGACGCAAGAACAGAATCTCGAATTGCTGCGCCAGCAGCATCAACTTGGCAAGTATCCTGGTTTGGAGGGTATACCCTGGCTAGTGGGGACAAGCCGAAAGGCTTTCATTGGACGTATCACTGGTGTCGAGAACGCGCAACAACGTGTGTGGGGCACGGCTGTGGCTGTCTCGGCGGCCATACAGGGAGGCGCTGAGATCCTTAGAGTACATGATGTGAAGGAGATGACCCAAGTTGCCAAGATGGCGGATGCGTTGTGGAGAAGAGGTGATTCTCCATCAAACTAGTCTGCGTTGTCGGCTTGAAAATGGACATGAGATAAATAAAAGTTTAAATTCATCTGCAATACGGGTTGCAATAGTTCCCGACTCAATCATAGGACTGAAAAACCACTGCAGGGAATCGACTTGACCATCCATTGAATTTATTGCAATCTTTTGAAAGTCCAATAGATATCATCACACATAACGTAAAAATAAGACTAGATTTGAATAAGAACAAACTTGATTGAAAACGTTAAATGCTATAAATCTACATATTCAAACATGGGCTACTTGGAACAAAAATTAATGTCTTCGTCAACTCGCCATTCTTTTTTTTTACAACTTGCTCGCGCCACCCATCAGCTCGGCACCAGCACCGCTAATGGCTAACTTGCCAGTCTCCTTGACCTTGGTCTGGAACAAGACGGTGTTGCCGACCTTCCACATCTCGGTGATAAGGGTCTGGCCAGGCAGCACAACACCGGCAAAGCGGACCTTGATGTTCTTGAAAGGTCCGTATGTTTGCAGAATGTGCTTACCCGAGACACCAAAGCTGCACAGGCCGTGCAGAATGGGTGTGGGGAAACCACCCGCTTTGCTGAACACAGGGTCAATGTGGAGAGGGTTCAAGTCGCCAGAGAGACGGTAGATAGCAGCCTGTTCCTCAGTCGTGCGCTCTTCAACAATGGTATCAGGGGCACGCTTGGGAGGCTGGTGAACCTTGGTTGCTGCGCCGCGATCAGTACCCTTCTTAGGGCCACCGAAGTTACCGGAGCCACGGATGAAGACGGTGCTCTCGTTGTAGAAGATTTCCTCTCCAGTCTTCGCGTCCTTGGTCACGCTGCCATATACAACCAGTCCAGCAGCGCCCTTGTCAACAACTTCGACCAGCTTGGGAATAGCAACGAGGTTGGCTTCTGTGGGAATGGGGAACTTGCGGATCTCGAGATACTGCTCGCCGTGGAGAAGCATGCGGGGGTCGAAGTTGGGAACAATCTCATCGAATGTGAAAGGAGCTTCTGCGTTGAATGGAGGAACGACACCAAAGGTGGGGATAACCTGGAAGTTCTCGTCGCCCTCGTACACGAATGGAAGATCGGTGCGCTTGGCACCAACGCCGAGGTCTGTCGCCACTAGTCAGATTTTGTAATTGATAGCATTCAAGTGCAAGAAACTTACTGTAAAGAATCACGTCACGCTCAGTGTAGCTGAAGGGAGTACCCTCGGACTTGGCAGCCAAAGCCTTCTTCTGAGCCTCGAGGATCTCCTCGTTGCTCTTGGCAGACTTCTTCTCCTTCTTTCCCTTAGAAGTGTTCTCGATGTTTGCCATGATGGACTTGAGTCCACTGGCGTTGTCGAAGGGGTGGTCAGCACGGCCGTCATCAAAGTTGGTGATGCGCGGCCATTGAGCGAGGACAGCCTCGGGAGTGAGCTTAACATCGACTGGGAAGCCATAGCCACCGCTGCGTTGCCATCTGGTAGCAGCGAACCAGCCAGAGCCCATCTCGTACAAGCCACCGGTTGGCTCAGGAGCCTTGTCAGAGACGAGGAGAACGACCAGAGGAGCGTTGTAGTCAGGCTTGAGGGCCTGGACAACTTCCTCGGGCATAATGGTTCGGGTCATCTGGGTTCCCGCGTTGGGGGCGACGGTGTTGACAAAGATGTTGTTCTTCTTGCCCTCAAGAGCGAGAGACTTAGAGAAACCAAGAATACCGCACTTGGCCGAGGCGTAGTTTGCCTGGCCAAAGTTGCCGTAGATACCGCTGGTGGAGGTAGTGTTGAGGATGCGGCCGTACTTTTGCTTGAGCATGTAAGGCCAGGCAGCCTTGGTGCATGCATAGGTGCCGAAAAGGTGCACCTTGTGAATGATGTCCCACTGCTCATCGGTCATGTTTGCGAAAGCCTTGTCCCGAAGGATACCTGCATTGTTGATCAGAATGTCAATGCGGCCGTACTTCTCAATGGCAGTCTTGATGACAGCCTCGCCATCCTGGACATCGGCCTTGTTGCCGACAGCCTCTCCGCCAAGCTTCTGGATCTCCTGAACAGTGGTGTCGGGGTTAACAAGATCATTAACCACAACCTTCGCGCCGCGCTTGGCAAGTTGCAGGCAGTAGATGCGGCCGAGACCAGCACCTCCACCAGTGACCAAAGCGACCTTGCCCTTGAAGTCAAGCGGCTCGCCCTTGGGGTTGGGGGGGAGTTGGTTGGCCTTCTCGAGCAGCTCAAGAGCATCTGCGGGGCCCTGAGGGTGCTCAGGCTTGGAAAAGTCGACAACATCCTTCCACTTAGTAGCGAGGGCCTCGGGTGTGAGTGTGTCATCAGCTTTGAGCAGAGCGCCGGTTGCTCGCTCCCAACGGAGCTTAGCAACGTGTCCAGCTCCAGCCTCAAAGATGGAGCCTGTCTCGGTGGACGACTTGTGTGTAAGGACTGCGACAATGGGAACAACCCACTCGGGCTTCATCTTCTCGAGAACATCTGGGGGCATGACAGTCTCAGTCATTCGGCTGGCGGCAATTGGGGCGACGACATTGCAGAGAATGTTGTATTTCAGACCCTCCTTTGCAAGTGTCTCAGTGAAGCCAACAAGGGCAAGTTTAGCAGCTGCGCGAGTTAGCCCTCCATCATGGTGTTGGCTTGGATTTGAGCTTACCAGAGTAGTTTGTCTGTCCAAAAGATCCAAACAAACCAGCAGCCGACGCAGTGCTGATAAGTCGTCCGTACTTTTGTTTCCTGAAGTAGGGCCATGCGGCACGTGCGCACTTGTATGCTCCGTAAACGTGGACTTTGTAGATGAGATCCCAGTCGGCCTGCTTCATGTTCTTGAAGCTGATATCGCGGAGAATGCCGGCATTGTTGATGAGGATGTCGATACGACCAAAGGCATCAATGGCCGTCTTGATAATCGCCTCACCATTCTCTACTGAGTCGTAGTTGGCAACAGCTTTGCCGCCTGCGCTACGAATTTGCTCGACGACCTTGTCTGCGGCCTATCGTGTTCGCGTCAGCCATGGGTACATTATATCTTGATGTGCCTGAAGCAGTTTCGGGTTAAAGAAAGGAACATACCGCTGAGCCCTGGCCCTCGCCCTTGAAGCTGCTGCCGAGGTCGTTGACCACGACATTGGCGCCGCGGCTGCCATAGAAGATGGCATACTCGCGACCCAATCCACCACCAGCGCCTGTTACAACGACGGTTTGGCCGTCGTATCGCAGCTCTTGCGCAGTCATGATGTGTGTATATATGGGAGTCTTGTGAAGAAGATGGCTCTTTGCTCGCGTCTGAAGCTGTGTCGCGACTGTGCAAAGCTCAGATAGATGCAGCAAGCAAGCAAGGAAGGTGTCACAAGTCAAGTGGGAATCAGCAAAGATCCCGGGATATCAAATGAGAAAATGGGAAAGCTGAAGATGAGAGGAAAGGATGTCAGAAGTTATGGTGGCAGTCAATGTGAAGTCGTTCTTACGGCCATGTCTCATGAAAGCAGCCGAGCTGCTGGCGATGACGAGTTACCTCGGTCCCGACGGCAGTTGGTCATGTGTGGAGAATTGCGAACCGTGCGCCCTCACACTTTCACATGTCCTTGCACCGCGTTATCTGATGTTGTGCTACTGCTAGAGAACTCCGGGGTATCATATGACAGTCGCCAAAGCCATGTTCCATCTTGTCTGGGGTCTCCATACATGGTTCTTCCCAACCATGCATAGCCCCGGATCTCGGTGCCCCTGGCCAGAACGGCACGTGATGACGCGCGAGTTGACTACATACTATCTTGTCACGTCAAATGCTGTTGGAAAAATAGGACAGGAATGGTATATGACCGATCCAAATACCCAAAAGCTGCATCTATGCATCCTGAACGTAGCAAGTCCAAATCCTTCATCGTACCCTTACCATAACATACACCCTGCAAAGCCGCATGCGAAAAATTGTCAAAGCCCAATCCCACCATTACAGTCGGGAAGTCGTTGAGAAGTTTCCGCGTAAATCAAAAGTCTATGTGTGGACGTACAGGATCGTAAAGGCTGTAACATAGATACTTATACCTCCCTGGAATTTGTTGGGCAGGTAGAAGCGTCATCTGCTAAGCGTCGATCCCCATCCTGGACGAGAGTCACATCGTACAGCCTCTTTATCCATCCACTCAGACTCGGAGGATACAGACGCTAATCAGTTATGAAGCAGCATCAACTCTGAGTAGCCAAGTGCATGAAGTGATGCTCGAGCAGAATTCCTTTAGTCTGCTTCACATCTAAATAGTGCCGAACAAGATACCGAGCCGTACATATTCTTACCGACACCGCTTCTCACTCCTGGACCGCAAATTTTCATTCTTTCTATCGCCAATATAGCCCGGTCATCGTGTGGCATCCATCACCCAACTCGATTGAGCTTGGCCTCCCTTCCAGATCCTTCCTCTCAAGCTTCGAGTGTATCCTCATGTTCCCTGCTCCCCAAATCGCAATGTATACGCACTCTAGCGAAGATAGGACAAGACGCCGTGGGTAGTATCCATGTACCTGCAACACTAGTGAAGCTTGTGAGGAGTCGTGGTGAGCGCGGTTATCATCGTCTCGGTCCGAGAATCGCGCATAGAGCACATTCACGATAGGGCTGCGCGCACGGCAGATGCAGGACGCAGCGTGCAAGGACCTATTCAATGTACTTAGGTGGCCTAGTAGGGCTTCCGCGTGGCTTGAGTGGAACTAGAATTGAGCACGGACAACGCGGCTGGTTCGCAAGTCCGGTGAGTCGTTGAAAGCCTCTCTTGTTACCGTCTTTTGACCTGTAACCGTATTCGTATCCATTTCTGTTCGTTTTGTATCTATTGCACACATGTCATATGCCCAGAAAAATGCCTCATGCTCTGTACTGTAGTGTGCCTGTTTAGCGGGACAGAAGCTACACATGTATATGTGAACAATGTCTCCCATTGACCAATGTAATCATTTTTGCATTCGGAACGCAACGTTGCTCATCAGATCCATTCGGTTCGCTTCATGCGCACAAGGAAAGATTCGTGACCAGCTAGCCATTTAGAATTACCAGCTCTGCCTTACAAGGTCCGGAGAGAATGCGTCCTAAACTTTCCAGTGGTATGTGCATCATACTGTCATCAGGCTAAAAAGGACTGTCCCTCCAAAGGTCAGCTGAGTGCATGTCCGGAGTTGATACAGGAAGGGATTTGCGCAGCATCGTACGTGCCACCCTGGACAAATCATTCAGATGAACATTATGCTAACTGAAAGACTGTTGGAAGTCATTGCCGTTGGGTTCTTAGTAACATACTAATGTGACGATGTTGGTTTGGGAGGCCTGTCCCGAGGCCATGTCAACGGTGTCATTGTCGACAAGACTGTCAGCGGGCGGGGCTATCCGCCCGCCTGATGCATGCACCACGTGCTAGTCATTGACCAAAGAACATGCGTTAGCGTGGGGGTTCTCTTTGTTTTCATACAAAGAATGGTGGAAAGGAGGTGTGATAGCTACTGGCCTCCAGCCTTGTCATGAGTCGATGCCATGATGATCGGACGTTACAGAGCCTCGCAAGCAGGATAATCTCTGAAGGTTGTAGCGGCTCTGCCCCCTTCTCAGGCCGTTTCTGCACACGAGCGCCAAACACCCGTCTGTCCGGCAATGCAGCTTGCCGAAGACAGGGATGGCTCCCATTGATGGTGTAATGTCATCATGCAACTGTTGATTAGGTCTAACTCATGTCGATTCCTTGAAAGCACAGCCTGTGCTCTTGCGGGCCTCAGCCTCATTTTCCATCATCCACCGCCGGCCTGTTGTAGGGAACTACGTGCGGCAGAATAGGGGATGAGCCTGTGGGCCGAGTCCTCATTCTCATTCCATGCTAGCCGTTATTGCTGCTACTCTGGTGGTCTTTGAGAGGTCTGTACTTCGCCAGAGCTTGGTGATCCTTGTCCTGTACGATGATGAACTAGCTTCTTGGGAGTAGGTACAGCGCCTAGGTCCTCGATGTCGGGGGTGCTCAGGTTCCCGTGTCCGTAACCTACGGCTTATGGCCACCTGGTCAGCATCCCCCTAGTGACGTTGGCAGTCGCCACGATAGCGGATAATTTTGCGCCTGTGCCGAGTCTGTTGCCAACTCACAGCATTGTGCAGATCACAGAGGTGGTGTGCCCATCTGATCGGTTCATCATCGACACAAGCATTAGGTTCCTTCTGTCGCTTACTTGCATCTTGTTCAACATTGCCTTATCGCCTCGGTAGAGTGTACTGCAGTCGACTTCGGAGCACGCGAGCTGTTCGAGCCATAAATTCCATCCAACGAACATACCAATGAGTGACGACACAGAAAGAGTAAGCGTTCATGGCCGAATTTTCCAGAAGATATCGCTAGACGAGAAAATCTATTTCGCCCCGGTGGCCATCGACGACCGCGAGGAGAGCAGACTGACTGCCCAACATGATCTCGTGTCCAGACTCTTGGGGAACAGGCTGTTTTCCGACCGGATACCAGTAACAGAACCTCAGTCGATACTGGAATGCGGTTATGGGGGAGGTGACTGGGCTGTCCAGTGTGCAGATGAATTTGAGGACTGCGAGGTGTGTACTCCAATATGCTGATCGTGTTGGCGAAGATGGGTTGATTCTAGCAATGCCCGTCACCTGGCCAGCAGATATTGACTACTACAGGTCACCGCTATTGATATATTTCCTATGTGAGTGAATAGGACGTAGGGGATTGTGGCTATGACGAGTCGAAGCTAATCATCTATTCTCCAGGCAAGTTTCAGATCAACCCGAGAATTTAGAACTGATCGGCCACAATCTTAACGATCCACTCCGCGATCCCGATATTTTCAAAGCAAATCAATATGACTTAATCCACTCGCGATTTGTATTTCCGGGAATAAAAACGGGGAGATGGCCTAGGTACATTAGAGACATGAAGCTCCTGCTACGACCAGGAGGATGGGTTCAAGTCATGGAGTACCTCCCCATCATCCAGTCTCATAACGGACGTCTCACAGAGAATTCTGCAGTCAGGAGGTGGTGGCAGTCATACCAGGCTGCAATGATGAGGATGGATAGAGATCCAAGGATAGGTCGTCGCTTGTCTCAGCTGCTTGTTGAGAACAGGTACCGCGATGTAGCAGTCGATATTTTGCAGCTCCACATCGGTGGCTGGCCCGCAGGTAGGATCATCCTTTTTCAATCTGCTGCAGTATCGTGGATGCTACCGACATGGGTGAGCCTGCTATGGTGTAGAAGTAGTGTTATACCAGCGTGAGGAGATGTTAACGTATTGAACAGACCCAGTCAAGGCCAATATGGGAGAAGAGGCAATTGATGTAGGTCGTGGCTCTTGACAACAGTGAGGAGGTCCAAGGTATTGACCATGCCCGTCTGGGTGCAGGTAATTGGCGATCTCCTCGAGTCGATTGGGCTTTGGCCATTCACTGCGGAGCTTGGTTGGACGGCTGCACAGTTTGACCATCTCATGGGAGAGGTTCGCGAAGAGCTCGAGGATGTCGGGTTGAAGCTATATATGGAAATGTATGTAGTGGCGCAAGAGTGAGAGACACAAAGCAGCTGACTGTATGCCAGATTTGTCGGACGAGGACGGAAGAGTACTGGCTAATGGCGTGTAGGATGATCATACAGCGAAGACTGTTCTGTTGCAAGGTGCGTCTTGTGTCAGCGGTGATGTTGGAGCCTGAGTCTTGTGTGGGGACGGAATTGTGTGGTCGCGACAGGATGACGTGCAGGGTTGTAGCATTCTTTATAGCTATCGTCAAACTAGTTTGGGTTGTTTGGTCGCTGTAGTTTGTATATGACAAGTCATCGTGCCCGTCTACATGTAAGCGTGGAGAGAGCCGGCAAGGTTTGGAGCAACGCGTGGTGTTTTATGAAGCATCGATACATGAGAGGCGAGGCTACTGTTGGCAACGGGGCCATGATGGTGGCTTGGTAGACAGATCATGGGCTGATGTGTGGTCTCGGGTCGCAGCAAAGAGGTACAAGGAAAACGATGGAGAAAGGCGAAAGACAAAGGGGTGAGGGGATTAGGGCAGAGGAGAAGAGGAATATCGTGAGTTGAGGACGAGGAAGGAAGGGTGAGCAGTAGAGGCAACAGCACTAACTCTCGTCCTGCCACCACTGCCACCACTAGTCCTACGACCACCACCTACGTCAAGCAAGCAAGACGCGTCTTGCCCTTGACAGCATGGGCGCAATCGGCCACGCCTCTGCTCATCTTCGGGGTCCGGGGGCTGATTGGCATTGCTGGCATTTCACAAGCCTCTGACTCCGACAGCTTGGTAGCGAAAAACCGTCCGATGGGGCCCTCTCCTGGTTGATCCTTCACGCTCTCGCTCTCGCACTCACCCGCCCAGGTGCCATGGCTACCGCTGATTTTGTTTGTTTTTATTCTTTGCTTGGAGGAAGCGCTGGCCTTGATTATCTTGTTACAAGCATGGCCTTTTGCTGCCGACGACATGCCCGCGCCCTGGGACCAAGCATTGTGGCGCCTATCATCCATTACACCCCCATCGCCTATCGACGTTGAACTCTCTCCATGGCCGTGCGCATATGCACTGCATCGGGGAAGCGGGTGCGATAGACGAACCCTCGTCGAACAAAACCAAGACCGTTGTCGTGCCTTGGATTCGGCCCGCCATGACCAGCCAGGCGCCATCCATTATCGGCAGAGACGCTCTGTGTATGTATGTGTACATTATGCGTGGGGTTATCATGTACATATGTGCTCTGTATGTACTCATGTTACTTACATACTGCCATGTGCAGCCCCGCAGCACTCGACGCCCATATCCTCGGCCGGCAGTAGCTTGACGACAGGCCTCCAACCGTCATCGATAACCGTTGCTGTACTTGTGGTTATATCCGTTATGGCCGTGCTCCATCGTCGCCAATGCCAATGACGACATGATGGCAATCACCCAAACGACGTTGACGCCAAAGACGCGCCGCATCCATCCAACTACGGCAATACACACTCGCCTTGAATTCTTCCGAGCGCCGGCCTCAATTCCTCGGGCCACCGCCATCTTTTGATGAGCAAGCCCATGGAGAACACACTATTTAGCCGGCTGCCACCGTAACTACATCTACAAAGCGTATAGCGCCATCAACCCGCCTTCTTCCTTCTGCCGAACCCGGTATGCGCAGATTCAATTCCCCGCACTCCATCTTGCTTCTCCAATGTTGTCGATGAAGCCCGTGTATCGACAGGGAAAATGCCTTAGTGCTCCGCATGCGTACATGGACGATGCCGTCTCCGGATGCTTGACGCTATAAGTACCCGTCAACATGCTCGTGGGGCCGTTACCAACTCCACAAAACTTCCGTCGTCATGTTAACTGAATGGCTTGTTCGCGCTCTCTTCGCAAACTTGGCTGTTGCCAGCAAAATTAAACCCGCACCCGCCAATGCAAGGTTCACCACGCTGGTCACCTTTGGCGACAGTTATACAGATGAAAATCGCCTAGGTTACTTCATCAACAACAATGGCTCCGCTCCGCCAGTGGGTTGGCAGCAGCCAGTGGTATGTTGGCCCACCTACAGACATTGTTGCCCATCCTAAACATACAATGCAGGGCTTGAAAACAGCATCTGGAGGACGGTCTTGGGCTCGATTGGCCAGTGACTACTCTGGCGCAAAGCTCTACAACTATGCTGTCTCTGGAGCTGTATGCTCCAACAAAGTATCTCCAAGGCCCCTCGCCGCCATCAATGGCCCTTTCCCTGACATTGATGGCTATGAAGTACCCGCTTTCATCGCTGACTCCAAATACGTCAACCCGAACGGCACCAAATTCTTCACTGGCAAAGCCTCGGACACTGCTTATGCCATCTGGATTGGGACCAATGATCTCGGCAATGGCGCCTTTTTGACCGATAAACAGTTACCCGGCAAGACTGTCATTGACTACGTGGACTGCATCTACGACCAAATTACCCGTCTTTACAATAACGGTGCCCGCTATGTTGTTCTCTTGAACCTGGCGCCCCTTGAATTGCTGCCACAATATCAACTTCCCGAGAAAGGTGGCTTGCAATCGACGCAATTCTTCAACGACGCCCCCGGAAAGAACCTGACTGCGCTTCATGGCCGCATGAAAAACACAGTTGCTGCGTTGAACGGACTGTTCAAGTATCGTACACCCTATCAGTTCGACTACACGGAGTTGTGGGACGGCGCCACAGTAGTGAATTTCGACGTCAACGCTCTGATGCAGGAAATCTACTATCACCCAAGCAAGTACTTCAATGGCACTGCACCGCCCAATGTAGAAGGCGCAGCGCATCTGTGCAACGACCAGGGAAGCAACTGCACCACGGCTGCCAGTCTGGACAGCTTCATGTGGTATGACCCGCTGCATCCAAGTGAGCAGACCAGCCGCATCATAGCCAAAGAATTTGTCAACGTACTCGGCGGCGAGAGCAAGTACGCTACCTACTGGGGAGAATGAGTGATGGGCTGGATAGCTGGCAAGCAGGAATTAATGTAGAAGAATGAATATATGCAAATGTCTACAACACCATCCAACGATGCTAAGGCTAATGCTTTTGCCAAATGATGTACGCTGGACGCCAGAAAACGATGCAATCTGCGTAAAAGAAAAGAAAATAGAAACAACCGCCCCGCTCAAAGGCAGAAGTTGAATGCTCAAACACGTCCATACCAATACAACACCCACGCTTAAATACTGCGACACCACCTCTCCAAGCCCTTATCCCCACCCCTAATCCCCTTGAGCACCTCGCCCACCTCTTCAAGCGCAACATCACACCTCACCATACCGAACGAGCCCACCTGACCTTGAACAACCGGCATGCATAAGCCCAACTCCACCAGACCCTCCCACTCACGACGCGCTACATCTTTACCCCATACTTTACTCGCCCCACTACTGCTACTAAGTCCACCCGCCGCCGATTGAATACGCGCCCGCGAAGCCAGCGTGACATACTCATCGTACGCCATGTTGAAATTGCACGTGTCCGAGTCGTGGATGATGTCTAGTCGGGCTGCGGCGATAAGCAGAGAGAGTGCGAGGGTTGATAGCGAGGGCACGAGGGATAGCTTTGAATCTGGGGCGCTGAGTAGATAGCCCGGCTGGAAGGGCATCTCGGGGCTGAGGGTGGCGGTGGGGAGGAGGAAGGAAGTTAGGACTTGAGGGACGGATTTTGTGAGGTAGAAGGAAGATGCAAGATGTTGGGTTAGGAAGGTGGGGGTTGAGAAGAGTGTCTGTGACGTTGGTGTTAGTGATGTGAGACACAGATGGATTTGAGGAAAAGGACTTACGAAGATGTTGGCATTCCATTCGCTGACCATGTCTTGCTTTGCACCGCCTTTTTGTCCTTTATTCGGTGTACCCTTGGCTCCGCCTCCTAAGATGCCTCGCTCCTTGACGCTCAACTGTTCTGGTTCCAACGTCAAGCAAGCTTTGCACATGGTCTGAAAAGCAGTAAACGACGTCGCTAGTTTGAGATGCACGTATCGATGGCTGAATCGACTCTTGACACGCTTCTCCAGAGTATTGGTCACGTCGATGCGCGTTGTCAGACCCAAAACGGCGATGGGAGCTTTCCGCGATTGTGCAATGTCAAAGAGATTGTACAGCAACGTCTGGCGAGGGTGATGGGCAAAGAGGTCAAACTCGTCCATAATGAAGATGACTGCTTTGGCTACTTGATCTGTATCTTCACCTGTCTGTTCAGACGGATGTGAGAGCAGAGCGAGCAGTGTGGCTAGCGTGTCGGCGTAGTTCTTACCAGGCCCACTGCCGTCTTCTTCTATGTCCATCTCCTTGCCTAGCTGGCGCCAGATTTCTCGCAGCGCAATCTTGTCATCAGTGTGTACAAATCCGTTTAGTCGAACAACATGGTAGTATCCACCATTGTCTTTGGAAACTTCGGAGAGGACTTTGTTTACGAGTGCTGTCTTCCCACTACCCCGAGCGCCGATGATAAGCATAGAGTTGCCCTCGCCAGCAGTGATGGTGTGTTCAACAACTTGGTGTACAGATTTGTATTCCTCATCCAAGCCGACCAGAGGCGAGGGACGTTTGCCAGTGATCCGTTCCATAACAATAGTCTTGATCAAATCCAACTCATGACCTGGGGCAAGGTTGCTGTATATAAGAGGTAGAGCAGAACTTTTCTTTTGCGCTGAAGTTGGCTTATTGAACGGGCTAGGTTCGGTAGGGTCCAAGACACTGCCCAAGGCACTGTTGCCATCCACGTCCAAGTCGTCATCGTCATTGTGTGTATCGGCTTGTCCTTCAACATCTGACCATCGCTCTTCGCTGTTGTTTGCAATGTAATCGGTGTGATTCAGGCGCCGTGTTGTGCTCGCGGGTAGTCGTTTGTTTCCAGTCGGGGATGCATCTGGAAGATCGTCCTCGTTCACTGCTGTACTGGTCTCCTTGGTTGTAGGTTTGCGCCGTCTAGGGGCTGTTGCTGGAGCAGTGATCCCACCTGCGCCAGACGTCTCTGGTACCGCCTTCTTTCGTGTACTCGTCGCCGCCTTTCGAGCAGGAGGCGGCTTTGGAGGCGTGGTAGCCTTGCTGGAGTCCTGCAAGTCGTCCTCTTCACCCTCGTCTTCTTCGGGAATTGGACTTGGTTCCTTCTTCTTTCTGGGGGCTTTTGCTCGAGGGGCTGCTGGCTTGCGGGCAGTCTTTACGCTAGGTTTCGCAGCCGCCGGGCGCGTTGCCAAAGGAATAACATTGATTGCATCTCCATTCGCCGCAGCCTTGCGGGCTGCCACCTCTGCATTGGTAGGTCGGCCCCTCCTACGTTTGGGTGGAGCGGCTGGCTGTGGTTCCTCTGCAACATGCGCAGCGCTTGCCACATCTCCCTGTGGTGCTGTCTGTGACGGTTGACGATTCGCTTTGGACGGTACTTCTATGTCGAAGGCGCCTTCAAAATCGTCGTAAACGTCTACATTTTTCGCTGCCGTCGGCTTCGCAGCTGTGCCATTTGTTGCGCTCTTTAACGTCCTTCCCTTGGCTGCCCTGACAGGTTTCTTGTCGACCTTTGGTGTTTTGTCATTGTCTGTATTGCTGGTAGATGGCTTGGCCAGCCTGCCGGTGGGTTTCCTCGTCGATGGCTTCCTCAATGCGGTCGACTCGGTGGACTTGGGGGCATCGAGCTTTCTCCGTTTCGCTGATCGTGGAGAGTCGTCCATGATGATAAACTATATTTCGTTGAATACGTGAAGGGCGTGTCGATGGGTGTTCTTTACAGGGAATGCGCCATAGCAGTTGTGGTGAATGAAAGGGATTCTCCTAGCAACCAGATCCTAAAGTTGTTGCTGGCCCAGGCGCGTCCCTCTCCAAAGGCGCGTCGTCGCGCTGCCACCCCTGCATTATGCCAAGACCCCACCTCCGGCCGTACATTGTGCATGTAGCACGCCCTACAATTGACTTCCCCACTATCGCCATCGTGACTAATAGCCTCAACATAGCTTGCGGAAAAGACTTAGATATTAGATAGCCATGTCCCCCATTTCTTTTCTCCAACAACCATACACACAATGGCTTCAACCCAGAGTGCCCAGTCCGACCTAACATTATCCCCACATAATCTCGCTCCATCGACACTGGACGACATTGAACTATTCCAGCATACTGATAATGACGCTCCCCACAATGAGGCAGCATTTTCTCTGCCACCTACCGATGGAGGCAAGGACGCCTGGTTGTGCCTGTTCGGCTGTTTCATGCTCGAGGCAATGATCTGGGGGTTTCCCTCCTGCTATGGTGTGTTCCAAGAATACTACGCAACCAGTGATGAGTTTGCGGGACAGAGAAACATTGCAGTTGTGGGTGCTTGCGCAATGGTAATTTTCACAGACCCCCAGATAGATTGAAGCCTAAAGTATATCTCAGGGAATCATGTACATGGACATCACTTTGTGGTTCGCTGTGCTTAAGTACTTCCCCAGATTCCGCCGCTATGCGACTCCGGCTGGTCTGGTCGTCGTCTGTCTTGCACTTGGTCTTGGATCCCTGTCGACGAATGTCACCCACCTCATCGTCACTCAAGGCATCCTGTACGCGCTGGGTGGTGGTTTAGCATGGACTCCCATTCTCTTCAACATTGAAGAGTGGTGGGTTCGTCGTCGAGGATTCGCATACGGGGCAACCATGGCTGGTCTCGGACTAAGCGGTGCTATTCTTCCTTTAATCCTGGAATGGCTTCTGCAGTCCTATGGCTTCCGAACAACCCTCAGGGTTTGCGCCCTCAGCTTTGTGGCCCTGAATTTCCCAATCATCTTCTTCTTCAAGCCGCGTCTCCCTCTATCTCAGACTTCGCAGTCCAGAAGCTTCGACTTGTCTTTCTGGACCTGCTCAAACTATCTCATCCTGCAGTCAGGGAATGTTATCCAAAGCCTTGGTTTCTTCCTTCCTGCAATATACCTCCCCACATTTGCTCGCTCCATTGGCGCAAGCACTGTTCAAGGCACTGTCACCATTATACTTGTCAACGCAGCAGCATTTGTTGGGTCTCTCTGTATGGGCTTGGCCACGGACAAGTACCACGTGACCAACTGTCTGCTGGTCTCTGCACTCGGCTCAGCTGTCGGCAGTTTCTTAATCTGGGGTTTCTCCACATCACTAGCACCCCTGTACATCTTTTGCGTCATCTACGGGGCGTTTGCTGGATGCCAGTCGAGTGCCTGGAGTGCCATTGTTGCCGACACACAAAAGAAAAGAAGGGGTGCAGACTCTGGCTTCGTATGGGCCTGTCTCTCCGCTGGAAAAGGCGTTGGCAACCTATGCAGCGGTCCTCTATCGGAAGCGTTGATGCATGCTGGCAATTGGAGTGCAGGTTTTGCTTATGGTAGCGGGTATGGCGCATTGATTGCTTTTACTGGAGTGACAGCACTTTTGAGCGGATGGGGATATGCGGCCAGGCGAATTGGATGGATTTGAAATAATTGTTTTTGGAGTTCAACATTGCGCATTGTGCATTATGGTGCCGAGGCTCGTATGCGATTGGCAACGGTGTATCACACTCATTAAGAATTGCGCGAGGATGTAGAGTAGAAGACGAGAGAATGGTTCGATGGAGAATCCAAGAAGGCGTTTGTCACAGAAGGTACATGGTGGTTGAGTGGTTGCGCCAATGAGCTTCGTTGCGGGTTGGTCTTGGCAAGGAATATACGCGTACGCATGAAACAGGCCCACCGACGTCCTTCATGCGCGATCGGGCTTCCCGCATCTCGTAAACAAGCATATCACTTTTCTTAGCAATCCCAAGCACCTACCGACAATCTATCTGTGGCCGGGGAAAGTCCCCTGTGCCCTATGCGTCCTGCGCAAGGGCCGCCGATGTTCCAAATGCCGCTTCATCTTTCGACTGACAGCCGCGTCTCATTGGCACACGACCTGAAACCCCCGGTGTGATCAGCGGTTGCATCAAACAAACATTCTGTCCGAATCAGTTGGCAAGGCTGGGCTCCCAGCGAGTCCGCATGAGACACCCTAGTTGCTGAGCCGCGCCTACCCAATGTCTAGATTGATCTCGTCAACATCTTACAGATGACGGTCGGGGTTTCATGACAAACGCCATAGGCCAAACAACAGGCATTGTACGGCTCACTTTGTTTCCAGGACCTTTAGATGAATAGTATGTCGATCGTTTCTCGGTGCACGTCATAGCTATCAAGTATATATATCTTGGAAGTTGGCCTCATAGTTTGAAGGCCACCAACAAGTCAACAGTTGCCAGTCACACACATTCTCTTTGAGAAGGTTTTCTCTACACCTTTCTCTCTTCCTTCTTTGTTATACATTCTCTCGATATCCTAGCGATATTCGTACATTCACTTCGGCTGTGCCACTTTGTCCCTGTTACCCTTCACTCTCGTCACTCAATCACTTCTCAACGTTTCTACACAGCTCACCTAACCGACTACCGCAATCATGAGGTCTGCTGTCATTCTCGCCCTTTCGGGATCTTCCCTTGCTCGTAAAGTGCCCTTTTCATCAGTTTTGCCTTAAGCATTGACTAACATTCCCAAGTGCCCTTTGGCGGTGCCATGAACTCCATGTTTGGTGCTAAGGAGGCCCGTGAGGCTCAGGCTCCTCCACCAGAGAACATGCCCAACTTCCCAGGTGCTGGTTTCCCAGCTCCTACTGGAACTGGTGTACCTTCTTTCCCTATGCCCACTGGAGGTTTCCCTGGTGGTGCCCCAGGAGGCCAACCTGGAGGCCAGCCAGGCGGTGGCTTCCCCGGTTTCCCTGGAGGCCAGCCAGGAGGCCAGCCAGGTGGTCAGCCCGGAGGTCAGCCTGGTGGAGGTTTCCCTGGATTCCCTGGAGGTCAGCCCGGTGGTCAACACGGAGGCCAACACGGAGGTCAGAACGGTGGTCAGAACGGTGGAGGTTTCCCCGGTTTCCCCGGAGGTCAACACGGAGGCCAGCCAGGTGGTCAGCCCGGAGGTCAGCCTGGTGGAGGTTTCCCTGGATTCCCTGGAGGTCAGCCCGGTGGTCAACACGGAGGCCAACACGGAGGTCAGAACGGTGGCCAGAACGATGGAGGTTTCCCTGGCTTCCAAGGAGGCAAGCCCCCAACCGTAAAGAGGCTCGCAGTCAACTACGGCCTTGCTCCCACTCTACACAAGAGAGGAGAGGCCGCTACTCCTACTCTGCCAGAATTTCAACTCTTTTCCAAGGACGCTGGTGCTGCACCAGCTACCGGCTCTCCTGCTGAAGGTGGCTCTCCATATGGCGACGAGCCTGCTGGAGGTGCCCCAACTGATGGTGCTCCTGCCGACGGTGCTCCTACGGGTGGTACTCCTGAGGCTGGTGCTCCCGGTGCTGGTGCTCCTACTGAAGGTGCCCCAGAATCTGGTGCTCCTGATGCCGGTGCTCCCACCGATGGCGCTCCTGAGTCTGGCTCTCCTGAGTCTGGCTCTCCTGAATCCGGTGCTCCTGAATATGGTACTCCCACCGAAGGCGCTCCAGGTGCTGGTGCCCCCGGTGCTGGTGGTCCTGGAGCCGGTGCCCCAGGCGCCCCCGGTGCAGGAACTCCCCCCTTCCCCATGCCCAGCGGCGCTCGCCCTCCCTTTCCCATGCCCACTGGCGGTCTTCCCTCCTTTCCCATGCCCACCGGTGGTTTCCCCGGCGGCCCAGGTGGATCAAGCGGGCCAGGTGGACCAGGCGGTGAAGCTCCCTACCCCGGCGCTCCCAGCGGTCCTGGAGGCGACAGCGAGGACGGCAAGCCTGGCGCCGGTGGCTTTTTCGACTGGCTCAGCGGTCTCTTGGGCAAGGGCAAGGGCGAGGGCGCCGGTCAAGGCGAGGGTGCCGGAAAAGGCGATGGCGAGTCCAAGGGCGACTACTAAATGGCTTGGGCTAAATGATTATCCATGGGGCATATGGACTTCATCTGACGGATGAGTGAAAGATTGAGTGTCTAGATGACACGGGAGACCTTTTTTGACATATACATTTCTCTTCTTGTATCACACCTTTTTGGCAACTTAAATACACGCTCCTTATTGAGAATGAAAGACGTTTTCTTGCACTACGATTGGAACATAGAAGAGTGATGTTTGGCCTGTTAACTTGAATAGAGGATATGGAAATTCTTCTTCTTCCTCTTCCTCTTCTTCTTCCCTTGGAATATATAGAGTAACATCGCTGAATCACTGTGCAGTTATCATTACAAAGAACTCCATAGTTGCATGCTTAGCCTGTCATGGCACCGCAAAACCAGTATGCATCGTGATATCTATACCACCTGCACACCGTTTATATTTATATATATCTACTATAAAAATGGCAGTTAAAAGAGCGAAGTGAAAAGGTTGACCGCTGCCGTTGAGGGAAGCGAAGTCGGGTATCTCAGAAAGCCATTTCTCCGTCTTTTGTATCCTGCGCTATGCTTTTGAACTTTTTTTACAAGATTCCTGCACCTTGTTCTTTCATGATGGTCGTCGGGTTGAAGAGACGCCTTCCAAATGCTTGTGTGTGTATGTATATAGCGAACACGGCATTTATTTTAACAAGAAAAAAGAAGAACAAACATAATAGATCCTAGGTTACGATCAAAGAAACCCCCTAATTACGCTTGTTGAAGCGCAGTAGAACTGTCCAGAATAAAAGGCCGCCATGTGTTGTTGAACACAGATAATTCGGCCGAAGTATTTCCCAGGAAACGCCGAGAATGATAATTAGTCTTGCTGGGTTGAATGCAGTAAGAATATTAGACATAATTTTGCTGTATCGTATTAGTTAGAGACAGCCAGGCTCTTCATGCCGTTGGTGACCTCGATCGCTGCTGCTTTGGCGACATCTATGAGGCTTGGGCTCTCTTCCTTGTGGGTACCATTGGTTCCATTGACACCGTTAGCTTCATTTACGTTCTCACTGCCATTTGCATTAGGAAGATCGGCAGATGGTGTGTGCAGCGGCTTGTCCATGTCCTTGACCTCCAGACCATTGAAGATTGGGAAGATGCCACGGGTAGCATGGAAGTCATTGTGCACTGGTATACAAGTTAGTAAAGAGTTCGATCAATTCAAGTGGACTTGAAACTTACCAATGTTGAGAAGGTACCAGGTGTCTATGACGTCCTGGATGACGTAGCGTGACGGGCTGATACCTGCGTGACAGTTTGCCCACTGCTGGCCGAGTCGGTAAAACTCGTCCTTCCAAGCTAGAAAGCTGACTGTTTCGACAATTGTTGGCTGTACAATCTCCTTGCCTGGGAAGACACCCCACGTGACAGCGTTGGGCCCTTCGTTGGGGGCATTCGTCTTCAAGTCGCCGTTCTTGTTCACAGCATAGTAGGTGAATTCTGGGTCGCGCTCGAGACGGGTAATGATCTCGGCGATGTGCTCGGGTGAGACAAAGACCTCGAGGTAGGACTTTTGGTAAACATAACCGTTGCGTGGACCCCAACCAAAGACGGGATCAGACGATTTGACACCATTGACGGCAGGCTGAGAGTTGATGGTGAGGAAACCACGTCTGTTCAAGTCGATGAGATCGTCACGAATAGATGAGGCCTCCGCAGTAATGGGCTGTTCACTCCATGGCAACGACTCCAGTTTGCCCTCCATATAGCGTACAAAAAGATTGGAGAAATCCCTGATGGTCAATGGCGTGCCCCATAGCTTGATGTTTTGCTCGTTAGTGCCCTTGAGACCGATACCATATGAATCCAACTCGCCGAAAGCAGGTGATCGAGAATCTCCCCAACGACCGTTAGGAAACTCGTCCCAGTCTTGGGTGCGTGCAACATAGGACCTTTGTCGATTGCGCCAGAATATGGGTCGTACATTCTCCTCGCGTCGGTTGAGAGCCAAGGAGGGTCGCCATGGCAGAGGCTTCTCAAGTGGGGATTCCACATCTGGCAAAAGTTCAAGCTCCTCGAGAACCATGCGTGTGGCTTGAGCAAGGTTCATTGTGTAGCTGGAGTGAGTCAGTACAAGTAGTAGATATGGCCATATAATAACAGTAAGACATACAAGTGCAGATGGGTAATGCCGGCGTCAATCAGCCTCCGGCACATATCGGCCACCAATGTCTTGCCAACTTCACGGACTTCAACATCGTCGTTCTTGACGGGTTCCAGAGCCTTTGTCCAATCATCGGGAATGTGGCATTTTGTCCATTGGGCTCTTCGTAGAAAGGCGGCGTGGGTGTGGATGGGCATGATGCCGGGAATAATAGGAACGTCGATGCCCTTGGCGCGGACTTTTCGTACCCACTCGAGGAAGAGGTCTGTGTCGTAGAACATTTGCGTTACAATAAAGGAGCCTCCGGCGTCGACCTTTTCCTTCAAGTGGTCAATGAGCTCATCGACATCGTCGTTGTCATCGCTGCCTTCCGAGTATCCTGCAACGCCAATATCGAAGTGGTTTCCGTACTTTTCCTTGATGTAGACAACCAAGTCCTTTGCGTAACGGAACCCGCCAGCCGTTGCCTCCCACTTTTCTCGTTCACGGGGCGGGTCGCCTCTCAAGGCTAGAATGTTCGTGCAGCCGGCCTGGTATGCTTCTCGGAGGGCCTCATCGAGCTTGGACTTTTCCATGTCGGTGCAGGTAAGGTGCATGCAGGTCTCGAGACCGTAGACGGACTGTGCGACCTTGACCATTTCGCAGGTCAATTTGGAGTGGCGGCCGCCGGCGCCCCAGGTAAGGTCGATGAACTGGGGGCCGAAGCTGTGCATGCGGTCCATGCGGTCATAGAGGTTTTGGACACCCTTGGAGGCTAAGTCAGCGCAGTTGCTTTTTGAGGACCCTGGGAATATAGAATACCTGTGCGGTCTTTGGAGGAAAGAACTCAAAGGAGAAGGTCGGCTTCCCTTCTCGCTTCGCCTGAGCTAGTTTCTGTGAGATGTGCATGGTGGGCAAGGGTTAGAGGAAAGAAGGACGGATGGACTGAAGGAAGAAAAAAAGAAAGAGAGAAGAAGAGCAAAGTGCGAGTCGATGTCGAGCAGAGAGGCTCCGTGGGTACACAATAGGAACAGGATGCACCCCGCGATGGGCTCACTGCGGCGGGTACAAGGATGTATGGGTTCGGTCGGTGTCGAAACTCCGACGGAGCTTATCCAAAGTATCGTTTGCGGGCCCAGCGATCAGCGAGTGTCCGCGACATGTACGTCAGCTGGTTGGAATGGCAGTGTGTCAGGCGGTAGTCGGTGTCAATCTGTCCGTCAGTGGTTCAGGTCAGGACTACAACGTGTCAACGAGGCGGTGATGTGCAGTTTTCTCTAGCTCGCAGGTGATTGGAACAAGGTTAGCGCAAGGGCGTGTAGTGAGTCCGGAGGTGACATCGGAGCGCTGGCAAGCGAGGCCCATCTTCGGCCACATAATACCTCACGCCGCGTGCGATGCGGTGAAGAGCCCGCCATGGCCGATGAGACAGCAGCGCAGGACGGAGACCGAGCGCAAGCGTATGTGTATGTGCATAGCAGAGTATATTTATATGTATACGGACGAGATGTGGCATCCATGTGGTGGTAGTGCTGTCTGGGGATGTCGGCAGTGCTGTTGCCCCACACTCCAGCTGAGAAACCGCCCGCCGTCCCACATCTTCCACCCACGATGCCATGACTGCCCTCCCCCGGGTTTTCCTAATGCGGTAACACCGGAGCACCATCATTGTTGCGCAGTCAAGTCTACACTACTACATATGTAGGACTGCTACCGTGTATGTATATCCTCTGTGCATATGTAGGATGCCGTCTTGTCCACCCGCAGTATAATGACAACCCAGCCTTTTCATCCTTGGCTGCTCGTCCACCCCTCCTGACATCTCCCTCTCCCCCTCCATCTCCATCTCCCCAGACACCCGCATACCCACTACCGTCATGCCTCCCATTGCTCGGCCCCGCCGCATTGTCGGTGTCTCGCTGAAAATGTACTTCGATCTGCCCAGCACCCTCTCCTACATCCGCGGTGTCTTGCAGCTCGACGGCGATGCATGGAATGCCCGCACCGATCTTTTCGTCATCCCCGACTTTGTCTCTTTGACCGAATCAGCCCGCATACTCGAGTCGTCGTCCATCATCCTCGGCGCTCAAGATACTTTTTGGGAAGACAAGGGCGCCTACACAGGAGAAGTCAGTCCGCTTGTCTTGAGACAGGCCGGTGCGAGAATTGTGGAGATTGGCCATGCCGAACGGAGAGCCCACTTTGGCGAAAACGACGAGACGGTTGCGAAAAAGGCAGGGGCTGCTGCGAGAAACGGCCTTATTCCACTCGTGTGCATCGGCGAGAAGACGCATCATGGTGTCGCTTCAGCTGCCGTCGGAGCTGCTATAGACGAATGCACCCCCCAGGTCAAGTCAGTCCTGGCTGCCGTGCCCGACGAAACCGAGGTTATTCTGGCGTATGAGCCAGTGTGGGCCATAGGAGCAAAAGAGCCTGCAGACCCTGACCACGTAGTCATGGTGACAAAAGCGCTGAGGTCGCTGGCTGCGGGCCGCAAAGGTCTAACAAGAATCGTCTATGGCGGTAGTGCCGGCCCAGGAACTTTTGCAAAGATTGCCGACGGTGTAGACGGCTTGTTCTTGGGTCGTTTCGCACACGACCTCCATAATCTCAAGAAAGTCATAGAAGAAGTCGGCGGTGCTTGAGGCGTTTGAAGAAAGAAAAAATGCGTTTCCATATCTCAAGAATGCGACATGCTGCAGTTTCAGACTGGGACAGGACGGGGGAGTGACTGAGAGAGAGAGATCACTTGACATCCCGTGACTGCCCACTCGCGCATTACCTGCTATTCTCCATTGCAGTACATGACAAGATCGTTATGCGCTCTTATCGCCCTATGCTAGGTTACTTCTGCCAGTCTATGAGGCCGAATGGTATGTGTGACGTCCCTTCCTTACCGC